ATGTAGTCTAGTGTTCAAATTGTGCTTTCCAGAGCTATAAAGCAAAGTTGCTCCAACTTTGGCTCAACATTTGAATCACTTAGAAGCTTTTTAAAATATAGATGCTAGGCTGGGCACAGTGGCTCATTCCTATAATCCCAGCACTTTGGGGGCCGAGGCTGGTGGATCACTTGAGGCCAGGAGATTGCGACCAGCCTGGCCAACATAGTGAAACCCCTTCTCCACTAAAAATACAAATAATTAGCTGGGTATGGTGGTACACACCCCTAATCCCAGCTACTTGGGAGCCTGAGGCACGAGACTCACTTAAACCTGGGAGGTGGAGGTTGCAGTAGCTGAGACTGTGCCACTGTACTTCAGCATGGGCGACAGGGGATACTCTGTCTCAAAAAATAAACAAACAAATTAATTAAAATATAAATGTTAGAGCCTCACTCCCAGAGAATCCGGTTGGGCTAGTATGTGTGGGCTGGGCATATATGTTATAAAGTTGGTAAAGATTCGAATGCACAACCAGGGTGGTGAACCATCATTCTAGAGGTTTGCAAGTCCAAACATTTGGACCCCTCATCCGATAAATACAAGTATGCTCCCTGGAGACAATGTGATAGAATATATTAAACTGGAAAAGTTGTGATGTGCTTGTGCCCTGTAGAGTTTTCATTAAGTTCAACAGCAGCACTATAATCTAGAAGAATTCAATTACACAGGGTTCTATTATATACTCTTATGATAGTACATTCTGTGGGTGTACAAGGGACACACAGAAGATTAAGGCCCAGTGTTTTCCAAAAAGATTTTACACAGTTGGCCTATGGCAGAATCATACAAAGGAAAAGAGGAAAACAAGTATAAATGTAACTTTAATAAAAGGCAGGTGTACTATGAATGGCACAGGTAAGATTGAAGCACAGATGAAATATTATTGCTTTCAGCATGTGCTCTAATTTCTCGTCACTAGCCAGTGCATATCTGACAAAATTGAGCAGTTTTGCTATCCTTCATCTTAGAACATGGCCTGTTGTTTTTAAGGTAGCGGAGGGTGTAAGGATAAAAAAGAAGAGGAAAAATAAAACAGTTGTCCTGTTCCTTCTTACCTCCACTTGATTTAAGGTAGGATAATTCTTTTTTTTTTTTTTAGACGGGGT